CCAAATATGCATAGAGAGGAATGGGGGAAAGATAAAGAACTTCAATTTTTTTTCATAATATTTTAGCTTTGCAAACTACGGTCTCTGTCACAACTAATTAACTCATATTACATCAAGAATGTAGTCATAGGCTATACATACATGATTGTGAGTCTGTTTCAATAAAACCTCATTTATATATGTCTACATTTGAATTTCATGTAATATCATGTTTCACAAAATATTCTTTTCATTTTTTAACCTCTTAAAATGTAAAATAATTCTTAGCTCTAAGACTATACAAAAACAAACCATCACCTGGATTTGACCCATGTGCTATGTTTGATAAAGTTTCTCAAACATTTGAAAAGTTTAGGCTCTAGAAATGAATTAATGAGGTCTTTATTAATTTTCTACAGTTGCTATAACAATTTGTTGTAATAAATGAACACAAATTTAATGGCTTAAAAATACACAAAATTGTCATCTCACAGTTCTATAGATCACAAGTCTGGGCACAGTATGGCTCAACTGGTTCTTTGCTCTGGGCTTTGTTGGATTGAAATCAAGGTTAGCAGGAATTCATTTCCGTCTGAAGGCTCTAGGGGAGAATATGTTCCCAGGCTTATTTCTAGCTGTTGCCACAGTTCAGTTCCATATGGTTGTAGGACTGAGCCTCCTGTTTCTTAGGTGGCTGTCAGTTGGAAGCCTCCCCAGTTTTTAGAGCTACCCACATTCCCTGACTCATGGAACCCTTCAAAACTAGTAACCGTAGATAATATCCTTCCCACAATTCAAGTCTGACTTATCTTGTCTGCCTTATCTTTCTGAAGAATCTCTTCTGTCGCATCTCTTCTACTGCATTGTTCTGACTTCTGTTTGCACTTTTAAGGGCCCAAGTGATTACAGTGGGCCCACATGAACAATCCAGGAAAATCTCCCTTTCTTAAAGTTGGCTGATTACCAACATTAACTCTATTACTAAAGACTTATTTGCCATGTAAAGCAACATATTCACAAACATAACTTCAGGAGTGGATAAAGGTCATAAGATGAGAAGGGACAAAATTCACAACATCCATGCCACCATATGTTATTCTGACCAAAACCATCTAGTTTCCAGCCTTGTTGAATTGTTAAGAGGTCCAATCCTTTCACCTCTTCCTTTTTTTGTAGTACTCTCTCTCTGCTTAAAGACATAGACAGGATCCCCCTAGTGGTAGAGTGTATAAGAATTCACCCATTAATGCAGGGGACATAGATTTGATCTCTGGTACATGAAGATTCCACATGCTACGGAGCAACTAAGTCTGTGCGCCACAAGTACTGAGTCCACACTCTAGAGCTGGCAAGCTGCACCTACTGAGCCACGTGCTGCAACTTCTAAAACCTGTGTGCCTAGAGCTTGGGCTCTGCAACAAGAAAAGTCACGGCAATAAGTCTGTGCACAGCGACAAAGACCCAAAGTAAAAAAGAAAAAAACATAAAGATACACGTGTGTGTGTGTGTGTGTGTGTGTGTGTGTGTGTGCACGCTCAGTCACTCAGTCGTGTCTGACTCTTTGTGACCCTGTGGACTGTAGCCTGCCTGGCTACTCTGTCCATGGAATTTTCCAGGCAGGAATACTAGAGTGGGTTGCCATTCCCTACTCCAGGGGATTTTCCCAACTCAGGGACTGAAGCTGCATCTCTTATGTCTCCACCATTGGAAGGCAGATTCTTTACCAAACATACAGAGAAAAACCAGAAAAATTTTATGATAGGTGATGATCTGGACAAGTGTATTTACTTTTAATACTTTCTAGGTGATTCTAAAATCATCCAGATTGGAAGCACTATTCAGATTTTCTAAAGAAAATACAGATACTTGTTGCCACAATCCAAGGTCTTGAGTATAGTTTTAGTTTTCTACTGGCAATCTAAAGTGACTAACAGCAGAGACAAAGGCTTTAAATGGAAAAATCCAGCAACTCCAGTTTTCTACTTTTTTAAAATAAGTAATCCATGAAAATAATCTCAATATTGATCAATTGAAAATTATCAACTATACGGAAGTTTTAGTCTTTATTCTCTTTTTGAATATAGTTGAATTATCAAATATAGATAGTATCTGCTTGGCAGTATGCTCATAAGGAACTTGAATGTGATTAAACGTGATGTTGGGAAGCCTGAATTTTGAGGACTATGTATTAAATACTGTTAACATATGCTGAATTCTATGTATTCAGAAAAAAATATGTAACAATATAACAGGGCTATGTTGAGCACATAAAGGCAAAGCTGACAGTTAACAAAATTATGAGGTAGTTGGCATGGGTCTTTGGGACTCACCTATTTCCTGGGTAAGTGTACTTCTACCACCATCCAAGCCTCAACTTCCCCAAATGCCTATTATCTTCACCTTTCATGTATGGTCTTGCTTTATTTCAACTGTCATCTTTTTCCTAAGCTGAGACCTTTCTAAAATCAGTAAAAGACTTTAAAATTATGGAAGGGAGATTCTGAAAGAAGAAATATTGTATATACTGAAATTTTAGTTACTATAAATGCAGAAGGTGGGTGCAGCAGCTATCAAGATTAAAGTTTCCATTCACACAGTTCCTGTTGTGCCGGATTTTTAAATTATGTCCCATAATTTTTTAACACTTTGATTTTAGTTTTTTCTTAATTTTTTCTCTACATTAGGTGCTTTTAGTAGCTACTGCCTAATGAAATCAATGAATAAGCACAAAACAAATTATAAAAAGGTAAAAGTATTAAGTGCACAACATGTTCTAGGCACTTTGCCACCAAAGTATTTTTGAAAAGAACTGGCTACTTAATTGTTTACTGCATGATTCATAGCTATTAAATTGTCAAATACCCCCAAATTTATGTGTATATTTTATACTAACCAAATCAAAGTCCAAGGATGTTAATTTGTAGAAATGGAGAAACTGACTCCAAAATTTATATGTATATACAAACCCAGATTAGTCTTCTTGAAAAGGAAGAAGTTGGAAGATTTACATTTTATTATCTCAAGATTTACTCTAAATCTTTATTCATCAAGACAATTTGAAACATTGTGATGAGACTAAATAGAGCAAGAAAACATAATTGATATTTGAAAATTATACTCACAGAAGTAGCCACACTGATTTCCAAAGAAGGAGTAATTTTAAGTCAGTGGAAAAAATATTAATATTTTTCAGCAATTGGTAATGGGACAACTTGATATCCATATGGGGGAAAAAGCAAAACAAATCAAAACCACAAACTCTACTTCAAATCATCCATAGACATTAACTTAAGCTGATCATATACCTAAGTGTGAATAGTAAATCTATAAAACTTTTAAACTAAACTTCTAAAGCTCAAGAGAAGATCTTTGTGATTTATATTAAATACTACTTTTAGTGGAAAAGACACAGACAACATTACTCATAAGATGAGAAAAACAATAAATTGGACTTATCAAAGTTAAAACCTCTTAAAAGACATCTTTAAGAAAATAAATAAATGAAACATGGAGAAGATATTTGAAAAATCATATATCTGATAAATGACTTTATCCAGAATATACTTTATACCATTATATATTAAAAAGTTAAAGAGTAACAGTAAAAATGAGAAAAGACTTGAACATATGTTTCAAAAGGAAGATAAAAACATGAGCAGAAAAACATGCAATGGATGCTCAACAACGTTGATCCTCAGGGTAACATAAAGTAAAAACAAAATAAAAAGATTATACTTTATACTTAAATGCTAAAAAGAAAAGAAAAGAGAGCGATTTAGCATTGTAGAGGTTGTGGAACAATTGGAACTGGAATATAAAATGATATTAACCATTGGAAAATAGTATGATAGTTTCTGATAGTCACACACAAACCCACTCTACCACCCAGGAATTGAACTCATACACAGAAAATATTCATGTTAACTTTACTCAACATAGCCAACAACTAGAAACAACCAAATATTCATCAATGGTGAATGAATAAAGACATTGCTACATATTAATACAATGGAGCACTACTCAGTGATTAAAAGGAATGACATTTTTGTTGATTTATGCAGCAGTGTGGATAATTTTAAAACGCATTGAGGAAAGATATCTGACTTAAAAGATTACACAGGGTATGACTCCACTTATGTGAAGTTCTAGAGCAGTCAACGTCCGTCCTTGTTGAGGAACAGACTTGCTTTCTTTTTTCTCTCTTTTGTAAGAGGAGACAGTTAACTGCAAAGGAGCAGTAGAGAATGTTCCAGAGGGGATTTCTATGCTCTATATATTGACCGGGTTATAATAATATTTACATAGCATATTCACATGTCAAAACTCAATCACATTTAAAAATCTGTCATATCATTGTAGCTACACTATTCCCCTGAAGTCTCATCTATAGCCAATGAGAAAAATCAATATTTTGATTGCCTCTGACACTAGGCATCTGCATCAATGCTCTGAAACAGCCCAGAAGACATTGAAATGGAAATACTCAACTTTCCCTCACCAAAGACCTTAAAGCAGGTCAGTACCTGAATCCAGGGACTTTATCATGGGGCATCAGCATTCCCCAGGTAAAAAAGGTTTCTCTGACTCTTTATGTCTTAAAATACATCACCTGTGTGTGGAGCCCAGGGCAGGGGAGATTCTCTATGACTAAGGCGGCAGCTCTATTGTGAAGACAATGCCTAAGACAATTCTTTCCCTCCTGCAGTGTCTCGTTCCTTTCTTCAGTCTGTTGCCTTGTATTGTCCTCTGGCTACTAGTGGGGCTCTGCCTGCAATGCAGGAGACCTGGGTTCAATCCCTGGATTGGGAAGATCTCCTGGAGAAGAGAAAGGCTACCTACTCCTGTATTCTTGCCTGGAGAATTCCATGGACAGAGGAGCCTGTTGGACTACGGTCCATGGAGTTGCAAACAGTTGGACAGAACTGAGCAACTAAAACCCACTCTCTTCACTTTCACTAGTGGGGCTGAAGGGAGACAGGTCTTACTTAGAAAGAGAACGTTTGGGTCTCTCACTGACGAGACTACTGACTTCTCCTAAGGGGCTGAGACAGGTTAACTGGCTTGGTTCCTCCGTGGCCCGAACTGTAGGTGGGAGATACCAACACCCGAGGCGTCCGTCCGCGGGCCCCGCCGTGACCTGCGGCGGGACCCGCCTCCCTGGCGGCGCCCCGTGGCTCGGGTCGCTCAGGCTCGCGGGCTCGCGTGGGTCTGAGGCCCGGCGCTGGCAGGCGGTGCTCCGGCAGAGCGCGTGGCTGGGTTTCCGGCTTGTCGCCCGCCCGCCAGGGGCGTCCTTCCCTCCCTGCCTCACTCTCTCGCCTCCCCTGGATCCGGTCACTTCTCGCTGCCGGGTTCTGTCTCGGGCTGACCACGGGCCCCTTCAGCAGAGGACAGATGGCGATGGACTCGGGGAAGGACGCCTCGCCAGGGCGGGCTCTGGGAGCCGGCGGTGAGCTCCAGGAGGGATACCACCCGCGAGGCGAGCCTACTCGAGACTGTTCGGCGGCCCCGCAGCTCAGGCGACCCAAGGGCTCACTGCCGCCGGTGCTGGAGGCAGAGATGGGCATGGAGGCGTGCCCAGCGGAGGCCCCGAGCTCCGGACAGCACGCCGCGCCCCAGCAACCGCACTTTACACCTGTCCCAGGCTGATCTTTTGTTCTCCCTTCCTCAAAGGATGGGGCAGGGGCAAGGATGGAAATCTAATCTGCCAGTAATCGAATCTGCTTTTTTACTCTGCAGGGGGCGAGACTGAATTCACTGGTCAAGATGCTTAGAGTCACAGGCAGGTGCCTCTAACGGGATTGAACAGGTGTTTGGAAGAAAAGAGGATTTTATTTTTCGGGGAGTTTTCCAAATTGCTCATGAGAATGGAGAACTCAGTCAGCTGCTATTTGAAAAATAACAGGCAAATGCAATGACAAATCTCTCCTACATAGTAATATTTTTTCACATGGAATCCTCAAAAAGGGAACTACTTTACCTACTGAAATAAGTTATAAAATTAACAAATTCTGGGTGCCTAACATACAGCAATTGTGATTATAGCTACAAGCACTGTATTATATATGTGAATGTTGCTAAGACAGTAAATCTTAAGAGTTTTCAAAAAATGAAGTTAATTAGGGACTTCTCTAGCTGCTCAGGCATGAAGAATTCACCTTTCAATGCAGGGGGTGAAGAATCCATCCATAGTCCAAGGAGCTAAGATCCCACATGCTTCAGATCCAACCAATCAAAATATAATACAGGAACAAAGTTGTATCAATATTGCTTTAAAATGAACTTTAAAAATGGCCTGCATCAAAGTAATGAAGTGATGAGATGGAGGTGCTACAGTGTATAAATGAGTCAGTACATTGTACACCATACATTTACACAACGTTGTATGTCTATTACATCTCAGTATCAGTTCAGCTCAGTTCAGTTCAGTTGCTCAGTCTTGTCCGTATCTTTGCAACTTCAGGGACTGCAGAACGCCGGGCTTCCTTGTCCTTCACCAACTCCCAGAGTTTAGTTAAACTCATGTCCATTGAGTCGGTGATGCCATCCAACCATCTCCTCCTCTGTCGTCCCCTTCTCCTCTCACCTTCAATCTGTCCCAGCATCAGGGTCATCAGCATCAAATGAGTCAGTTCTTCACATCAGGTGGCCAAAGGATTGGAGTTTCAGATTCAGCATCAGTCCTTCCAATGAGTATTCAGGACTGATTTCCTTCAGGATGGACTGGTTGGATCTCCTTGCAGTCCAAGGGACTCTCAAGAGTCTTCTCCAACACCACAGTTCAAAATCATCAATTCTTTGGTGCTCAGCTTTCTTTATAGTCCAACTCTCACATCCGTACAATGACTACTGGAAAAACCATAGCCTTGACCAAACGGACCTTTGTTGGCAAAGTAATGTCTCTGCTTTTTAATATGTTGTCTAGGTTGGTCATAGCTTTTCTTCCAAGGAGAAAGCGTCTTTTAATTTCATGGCTGCATTCACCATCTGCAGTGATTTTGGAGCCCCCCAAAATAAAATCTGTTACTGTTTCCCCATGTATTTGCCATGAAGTGATGGGACCAGATGCCATGATCTTAGTTTTATGAATGTTGAGATTTAAACCAACTTTTTTACTCTCCTCTTTCATTTTCATCAAGAGGCTCTTTAGTTCTTCTTTGCTTTCTGCCATAAGGGTGCTGTCCTCTGCATATCTGAGTTTATTGATATTTCTACCGGCAATCTTGATTCCAACTTGTGCTTCATCCAATCCAGCATTTCTCAAGATGTACTCTGAATATAAGTTAAATCAACTATACATCTCAGTGTAGCTGGGAATATGTGTAAACCAATAGCCTTTAAGATATGGTATGTTTTTGAGATTCCAGCAAACTATCCTCATAAAATTAATGTTTATAAAACAGTTCTTTATACAACAGTTCATTTGTTCCTCACAACAATTAGTCTAGTGAATAAAAAATGATATCACTTGTAGATACAAGGAAACTGAACTTTATCACGTTATGACTATCCTAAATCATAAACAAGCCCTCCTGTCACAAACACTGGTCTCCTGCTCAGCACAAAATAGTGGTTCAATAAAACTTGAGATGAATAAAAGAACCCAGAAGATCAAAGATAGACTGGTCCCTGGAAATTTCTGTTTAGAATGCTCAGTTCATGTTCCTCTTCTTAAGGGGAAGACTTTGCAAAGCCATTTTAAGTGCAGTGTTCCTTGTAGTCTCATTTTTTAAATGATTTGTTTGTAGGAAAATCTGCCTTTTGTGAATTTTATTAAAAAGAGGATACAAGTTTAAACATCACTCTTTTGAGTTTCTATTTTGAACAGGATTGATACTTGAAATACTGCCTTAGTATACTCTGTTTCTAAAGTAAATGCACAGGAACATGTGTTAATTGAATACCAGTCCTGTGAGCAACAGTACAATTCACAATAGATATAACTAGATGCATACAAGTCAACTCACTTAGGAAGGATATGTCATTTGGGGGGAAAATGACACCATGCTTTAAAGCAGAACTCTTACTCCAGTAGGGTATGGTGGTTTCTAACAATAGCTTTCTTGCTTAGTTTGAAAGACTATGATTTGAGCTGTGTATACAACTAGGACATATGGCTACTTAGTTACAAGAGAAAGAGTTTACTAGGAAACTGCATTCATAATTTGTAGAATGCATTTTTATTTGCATAGCAAATTGTTTTATTTCATATTCTTATCAAGTAGTGTGAAGTTTGCTAGATGCTTTTATTATTCTCCTCTTTTAAAATGGAAAAATCAGACTCAGAGAGGCCAAGTAACTTGTACAAGGTTGCTTAGCAACTAATATAGTGGAGAGGTCACTAACACCCAGCTTGTATCATTTCAAAACTTATGCTTTCTCGAGAAAAACTATTCAAGGAAAGATTATTTCTTATGTAAAAAAAGACCTTTTCCTTCTTTAAAAATAATTGTACAAACCTGTATAATAAGTAAAATTTTATTACTCTTATTTGATATACTAGAATAAAGTAACAGACTACCATGATAGCTTGCTGGTTTGCTAGATATCCTAGTTAGTTTGCTAGGATAGTTGGCTAGAATCTCAAAAATATACTGTATCTTAAAGGATATTGGTTTACACACTTTGCCAGCTATATTGAAATATAATAGACATACAACATTGTGTAAATGTATGATGTATGGGTTGACACATTTATACACTGTATAATACATCTTATCACTTAATTATTTTAATGCTTTTAAAATTCATCCATGGAAAGGAGTTATCACAATATACTTTGCTTAGGTTGTTTTAACAACCCTGTTGTGCTGCAGTATCAGCTTCCCATAAATAACCTCAAGGAAGATTGGCCTATTGCATATTTTCTACAAGCGGAAAACAGTGTCTACCTTATCAAGATCTGAACGCAACAGAGAATCACCTCTTGGAAAATGAAACTAAGTGAGGTTTTGGAGACCACTAGGTTTAGAGAATTAGAGTATTTTTTTTAACGTTTTATTTTGGGTGGGGATATAGCCGATTAACAAACAATGTTGTAATTGTTTCAGGTGGACAGTGAAGGGACTCAGCCATATGCATGCATGTATCCATTCTCCACTAAACTACCCTCCCATCCAGGCTGCCACATAACGTTGAGCAGAGTTCCACACGCTATGCCATAGGTCCTTGTTGGTTTTACATTTTAAATATAGCAGTGTGTACATGTTCATTCCCAACTCCCTTCCCCAACTTCCCTGGCTCTCCCTTCCCCTCGTCCTTCCATCCCAAATTATATTCATAGTACAGATCTGTCACTCTAGAGTTTTTTCTTTTGTTTATAGCCCCAATATCTCTACCTGAATGAAGAACAGAAGAAAAACCCATGCATCACCCCTGAGTCTATCTTCCATAAAATAATGTGATTGAGAACAATAGAGACTTGTGGAAATAAGCAGGTATTTACTGAAGACAATCACTGTGGATTTTCATTTAAGTCATAGTTGAATCCATGTTATAATTGAGATTGACTCTGGTTATTATTGTCCTAAATCTATACTTTCAAGAATGTCTAATTTCTACATAACAATTATTTATTTATGAATTGCTTATAGTGTATGTTATGTATCATGCATTGTACTAAGTACTCCAAGTTGGCTTAATATTACAAAATAATTAAGTATCATTCCCTGTGCTATACAGTAGATCTTTGTCAGTTATCAGTTTTATATATAGTAGTCTGTATATGTTGATCCCAAACTGCTAATTTATTTCTCCTCCCCCTCTTTCCCTTTTAGTGACCATAAGATTGTTTTCTATGTCTGTGGGTCTGTTTCTATTTTGTTTATAAGTTCTTTTGCATAAGAACTTATATAGCTCTTTTTTAGATTCCACATATAAGCTCTATCATATATTTGTCTTTCTCTGTCTGGCTTACTCCACTTAGTATTATCATCTCTAGGTCTATCCATGTCACTGCAAATGGTATTATTTCATTTTTTTCTTATGGCTGAGTAATAGTCCATTGCATATGTATACCACATCTTGTTTATCCAGTTATCTGTTGATAAATATTTGGGTTCCTTCCATGTCTTAGTTCTTGTAAATAGTGATTCAATGAACATCAATGTGTGTGTAACTTCTTCAAATTATTTTTTTCCAGATATGTGTCTAGTAATGGGATTGCAGGATCACATAGTAGCACTATTTTTAGTGTTTTAAGGAACTTCCATACTGCTTTCCATAAAAACCACCAATTTACATTCCCCCCAACAGTATAAGAGAGTTCCTTTATCTTCACACCTTCTCTAGCATATTGCTGAAAGATGTTTGATGATGGTCATTCTGACTGGAGTGAGATGATACCTCATTGTTTTGGTTTGCAAATACTATATTATCTCTCTTATATAGTGAAACTTTATATATATATAAGCTTTTATTTTAAAAGCTTTTTTATTTTCACTTTGAACAGCAAAAGCAGTCAAATGTCCTGAAATAAATGTACTTAAAGGCTGAAACTCTTATGCAAAAGAAAATACTACCCTTCCCCCATATCAATTCCCTTTGTAAATAGAACAGTCTTCAGTAG